TTCATTCCTCCTCACCACTATGAGCTGAATAAAGAGCATGAAATCACTTTGAGACTCTGAGTATATTTCATAGGGGAAAGAAGATTGCAAAAATGATATTGCAGTAAGGAACTTTCTGGATGCAAAAAAATCGTAAGCTCTGATAGCAAAAATAAAAATAAAAATACTTAAATGGAGGTTAGAGCCATGCTAAGGCTGAAATCAGATGGATATAAATGAATAGATATAATACTTTATTTATGCCAAGTGTATTCAGCCCTTCCTCTCAAATGAGCTCAAGGTTATCTAATTTGCACTTTCCACAACAATACACAAACCAAAACACAGCTATCTTTCAAAAGTTGCCCTTCTCCAAATTTTGTGATGCTGCTCTACAACATAAAAATCTCTCAAAAATGTATATATTAAGGAATAAATGCATAAAAATGCATATAATACTGAATATGCACCATATTAGGGGAAATTATCTGCAAAGAGGTGAAGATAAAATTGCATACAGAAACATGTATATTAGGAAAGATTTGCTTACAAATGCTGGTGAATTTTAATGAGGAAATCTATATAATACATATAAAATGAGAAACTCAGAGAATGTTCTGAACCCCTGGCCTACCTGGCAGCAAGTCAGTACGTCAAGACTAGAGTCCGAAGTCCAGGGGTCAAGCCACATCAAGCAAAGTCCAATAGTCAGGAAACACAATCCAGGGTCAATCCATGCAGCCGAGTCTGAAGCCCAGCAGTCTGGATACGGTCCAAAGTCAAACCCAAAAGCACATTCCCATAGATGCCCAGAAGCATCCAAGCCAAGGTCCACTAACATGGACAGTTGAGCAGACACAGCCCCTCAGCTCTGCTTCCCTTTTATACTTGGAATGTTGATTGCAGCATCTGGGCTTGATGAGGCCAGTGACCCCCACCTGTTCAGAGCCTACTCCAGCTGAGGAATCACACACCTCCTCCCAGAGCTAGCGAGCTCCACCTGGCCAGCTAGGGAGCTGGGCTGTGGGTCCATGCATGCTTCAGCCTCCTAGAGCACCACTCCTGCTGCTCCCTGTGCCTCAGTGGAACTCAGTCCCAGCACTTCTCAGGTGGGCACCATTGCCATTATAAGAGAACAAGGGAGATGTTCGTGGTGAGTTCTGGCACCTCTTCTAGAAAACTAACATGCTCCTATAAATGCAGGAACGTCTCTTCCAAACAGTACATGAACCTCACAAGTGAAGTATGAAGCTCCACATGTAATTTTGCACAAAACACTAATTGCCTGGCGTTTGGGGTATTGATTGTGATGCCATTTGGCCCAAACCCTGAAATTTTACTGCATTGTCGCTGAACCCATAATATGCTTTAGTTGCACTGGAGCTGTTGGCAATTCTTCATTAACAGGAGAAGGACATCTCAACTTCTAGTCCATTTTGTCTGGTCTGAATTTTAAGCAAACAGATTTACTTTGCACTCACGCAGACAATACACAGATGGGAACATAATTATGCTTCTGATTTTGCACTTCTCTAAATGTTGTGATATGGTTCTCACCCTCCCCTCCAAAATACCAAAAGGCATATGAAACTGCATGCTTTAGGATAAAATACATTTAGAGCAGTGTGTATTGGGATTGGATACATATTTAAATACTTTCTGTGATAAAATATGTATTTAAGTGTGTGTTTATTTTTAAATATGGATTTTCATACTTTTTTAAAAAAAATGAAAATTGATGCAAAATTGGGGCAGAGCAGACTTATGAATGAACACATTCAAAAACTGACATGGACTGGGAACAGACAGATCCATCCATCCCCAGTGGAGTCGCATCATTAAGTCAAGATCTAGAGTAGAAGTGAGGAACTGAATTTGGCTAGCAGGCTGAATAGTGATCTCTCCCACTCACCATGGGTCATTTATGAGTATCTGTAATTATTAAGTTTGCAGATGATAGTACCACAATGGGTCTAATTACAGGTGGAGATGAATCAGCGTACAGGGGGGAGGTTCAAAAAGTATCTACATGGTGCTTAGAGAATAACTTGCACCTAAATATTAGCAAGACAATGGAGATGGTGTTGGGCTTTCGGAGGAAGAGAGGGGAACCAGCCCCGTTGTATATCGGGGGGGGGGGGCTGTGTGGAGAGAGTCTCTTCCTTTAAATTCCTGGGAGCTTACCTTAGTGAAGATCTCACTTGGAAAAACAATGTAACAGGTGGTTAGGAAGGCCCAACAGAGACTCCATTTTCTCAGGGTCTTGCGAAAGAACAATGTTAAACAACAATTGATGACCTCCTCCTAGCAGTCCACAATAGAAAGTATCCTCTCATATTGTATCACAGTGTGGTATGTCGGCTTGACAACCACAGAGAGAAAGTCCTTACAGAGGATGATGAATACAGCACATGATATCATGGGCTGTCCCCTGAGCCCTCTAGATGACATCGCAAGGGATCGTTGCCTTAGGAGAGCGAGAAAGATTCTCAGGGACGATTCACACCCCGGCCAGCACCTCTTTAATCTTTTACCCTCGGGCAGGAGATATAGAAGTATAGTCAGTTGTACCAACAGGCTAAAAAACAGTTTCTATCCGTGGGCTGTTGGGCTGCTGAACGGAAAATAATATAGTGCAACTGACTTTCGGGGTTGGTGTGTTGTGCAACAAGCACACAGAATGCAATGAGATCGAGTGTTTGTGGGGGAGGGAGGTTCGGTTAATTTCATTGTACACAGGTTGTACATTGACAATAAACGTATTATTATTATTATTATTATTATTACTATTATTATTATTATTATTATTACTATTATTATTATTATTATTATTATTACTATTATTATTATTATTAGATGTGGCCACCAATCAATCACATGATGTCACAATAATGTCAGGTGACCCATTTTGCATAGTGCTCTGCACAAATGTCCCACAGACCAGCTGGTTACCAGGACGGACAAACATAAGAGCCTTGCTGGATCAGGCCACTGGTTAATAATAATAATAATAATAATATCCAGCACGGGATGCTGCCAGGAAGCCTGCCAAGCAGGACTTGAGTGCTGTTTCCAACAACTGTCATACAGAAGCACATGGCCTGCAATACTTGCAAAGCACTTCACATGGGGCTTTCCATGTGTCTCCAAACTCCCATTCTGCTTCATCTTCATCTTGACCAAAATGATACTGGAGGCCGAATGGAAAGCCATGGCAAGCCAAAGTAGACAAAGAATGAACTCCATGATGGAGCTGTGACCCTTCCAGGCTGATTCTGGGGAAATTTCATTTCAGAAATGCAAGTTCCTTCTATTTGGAGATGCTGGGTACTTCTATATCAAGAGCCTGTGAGCCCCATACCCTCTGGGGCAATCTTCCAGTGGCCAGAAGCAAAAATGAATGAGGTTTCTACACATGCATATTCACATCTCTCCCTTCTTCAGGAGGAATTATCACAGGTCAAGGACACCAACCAGCCAGGCAAAAGCACTCAAGGAACTTGCAGTGTAGGACTAGTGAGGGGTGTGGCCTGGAGAGAGGGGGTGTGGCCTTAGGAGAGTCAGATAGAAAGACCTGAGAGAGGGCAACATTCAACTCAAGCACCTCTGATTTCTCCACTCCTATTCTATAGGCAAAGCACATTCTACAGCCTCCCTCCCAGCTGAGCTGCGAAAAGCTGCTGAGATTGCCTCAAATCCCCTTTCCCTGTCCTAGGGAAAGTGTCATCCAAACAATCACACCACTCTAAAATTTCAGACCGTATTATTGGCAGACAAACTGTAGTACAGAGATGTTCTGCGGGCTGCCTAAATCTTTGGGCATGTTCCCAGCCTCTGCCAGAAGAATCCACATCGTGCACCAACGCAACACAAGTTGTCATATTATGCCTCTGACAATCCACTCGTGGAAATGATGGCTAGAATTGCAATAACAGATGGGGTAGGGAGAGAGAGAGAGAGAGAGAGGACAGAAGCATCAGTTCAACTTTGATGGATGCCTCACTGCTGGACCGAAAGAAGATTTGAAGCACAATCCCTCTTTAAATGCCTATGTAATCTTGAAGTACTAATAACCAGGTAGAGATTTAATATCTAGGACACTGGGGCCAAGAAGTCGAGCAAAAACATACAGGCTAAAAATGTTGCCAAAAGGAGGGGGGAGGAATAACGATGAAAGAGATTTTCTTCTGCTGCAGCATTACACAGAATAATCCGAGTTTAATGCCATTTAGACCTGTAGCAGTTTAAGAACCTGCATTACGGGTTGAACGGTTGGATCCTGAGAAAAAGGGAGAGCCTATGCCAAGGATCACAGAGCTAGTTATATAGAGGAGAGAATTTTTTCCTGGGCAGCTTCTCATGCGTAAGAAAAATCACTTTGAGGGTAGGCAATGCAGCCACCTGGCTGAAGCAGAGCAAGTCTGGCTCTGGTTGGAGACCCCAGCACATCATCAGCTCCATGATGGAAGAATGACAATATAGGAATGTGCTAAATCAAAAGATTTCTAAAGTGGTCGCATGTGAGTCCTGCCACCTTTGCATCTGCTTGCCCATTTTAAAGCATGAGTGGGGAAACTTTTTGTTGGAGGGCCACATTCCTTTCTAGGTGACCTTCTGAGGGCCATATCCCAGTGGCAGATGGAGCCAGAGGAAAAAGTGAATGTAGCAATGAATGTAAATGTTACCTTTGTACAGTAGACTGGTTTCAACACACACCCCTCTCTATCCTCCATCCAGACAATCAACAGAACTTATCAGAGCTCAAGGATGCATTGCAACCAGGCAAGGAGGGTGCAAAACAAGACTAGTGAAGGTGGTACTTGGGAAGCGTGTGGCTGGGGAGAGTTTTATGGGCCAGATAGAGAAGCCTGACAAAAAGCATCAGCTTTCTCCCCCCCTACTCAGTCAGTTGACTTGTGAGTCATCAAGGGTTGAGATACATTCATAGAACCATAGAATTGTAGAGTTGGAAGGGAACACCAGGGTCATCTAGTTCAACCCCTTGCAATGCAGGAATATTTTGCCCAACATGGGGCTCCAACCCATGACCCATGAGTCTCATGCTCTACCAACTGAGCTATCCTGCCTTCATGTCTCTATGTTCCTGTATGAACCTGCCAGTTCATTAAGATCAGCCTCAGAGGTTACCCTCCAGGTTCTGCCACCGTTGGAAGTGAGATTTTCAATTGGGGAATCAATTGGAGACCTTGGAACTGGGTGACAACTGGAGCTGGTTGTCAAGTGGAAATGGGCCCTTTTTGGTGGTGGACCCCCATTTGTGATATGTTCTCTCTAAGGGTGTCCACCTGGCACTAAAAGCAAAAGGTAAAGGACTCCTGGATGGTTAAGTGGCGCTCATCCCACTTTCAGGCTGAGGGAGCTGGCATATGTCCACAGACAGCTTTCCAGGTCATGTGGTCAGCATGACTAAACCACTTCTGATGCAACGGGACACTGTGACAGAAACCAAAGCACACAGAAACGCCGTTTACCTTCCTGAGGAGCGGTACCTATTTATCTACTTGCACTGGTCTGCTTTCAAACTGCTAGGTTGGCAGGAGCTGGGACAGAGCAACAGGAGCTCAACCCAACATGGGGATTCGAACCACTGACCTTCTGATTGGCAAGCCCAAGAGGCTTAGTGGTTTAGACCACAGCACCACCTGCGTCCCATGCACCACCTGACACTACATAAGAATGAAGACAAGCCTGCTGGATCAAGCCAATCTAGTCCAGCATCCTGCTCTCACAGTGGCCAACCAGATGCCCATAGGAAGCCTGCAAGCTGGACATGAGTGCAATAGCACTCTGCCACCTGCAGCTTATCACAATAGGCATTCAGAAGCATAATGCCTCCACAGTTGGAATACAGCCATCATAGCTAGTAGCTACTGTATTTCTGGTGCCAAGTAAATACCTCTTAGTTCTCCTAGGTGAATAAATAATAAGTTCTAAACTCCATGCTTTAGGTCTGTGACTTTCTTTTCTTGTACATTGCTATGCACCAGTAGTCTTCGGCATTTTCAGACCTGGGACCCACCTTTAACCCAAAAATGCATTGGGGAGAGATATTCCTTATTTTATCATTTATTTGTATCTTAATAGTGCTGGCAGTGTGACCCATCTTAGATCAGACTATGTGACCTGATAATGGGTCCTGACCCACCATTGGAAGACCAATGTTCCATAAATCTTTTTGTAAGCTGCCTTGGAGACCCCAGCTGAAAGGTGGTCCAAGAACCTTTGAAAATAAATCAATGAGGTGCAGTGGCTGCTGAGCTACAATGCCCATTTTTAGCTGTAGCAAACGAAACACGGACATCTCAAGCTGCCTTAAACTGCATCAGGACATGGGCAAATCAATGGGCTTAAGCGTGCTTAACTCTGCATTGGATTCTTGCCATTCTCAATTACATTTGGCTGCATGGATCATTCTTTGTTTAAGACTCATGTCAATTTAGTTAATTTCAGTGTGCCAAATCCATGTTCATGGCACTCACAAGAACACCAGTTTTTTTTGGCTTATCTGCAACCAGTTTTTCAAGAGCGTGGAAGGAGAGAAAATTGATACTCATTTGAAAACCCATTCAAAAGATGATACAATGATGAAGTAATATCAGAAAGTATCCTGGAAAACATGGAAATCCACGCAGTGTCCAGCTGTTCAGTTAGCAATGTTTTATAAGTGGAAAGGATCAAATAGTTTGCAGAAAACTGCCCAGAGGTGCTTTCCAGGGCAATTATTTTGGTGGGCAAAAACAATAATATGCACAGATCTAAGGTGCAAACATGAATTCCTACATTGCTGGGCGCCTTGCTGCAGCTGACTGCTGAACAAAGGGAGCATATACTGCCTACATCGCCTTTGAAGAACGAATATTAAAAAGGGCAAGAGTCATTGTCTAGGTCCAAGAAAGCTGAATCTGTCTTGATTTTGCCTGACAGAACTACCCAAGTGGAGCAATCTTATGAATTATAGTGAAGCTTTACTTGTCAGGAAGAACAACAAAAAAAACGAATGTACTAGTCAGGAACAAGAATGACAAAACATGTATGTGTGATGCTATTTTTCCACTGTGTTCAATGAAGCTCCGCGGCTTGGATACTTCCCCAAAATAGATTCTGCACTGGAGATGATGCATCCACGTCTCTAAATTGGTTCTCCTTCTCTGCAACTAATGTAGCACAGAATTCCATGGAGGAGATGTTGACTGGCAAAGAGAGAGGGAACCTTTTTCACCCCAAGGGTCATATTACCTCAAGGGCAACCTTCTGGGGACTTCATTCCAGTGGTGGGCGAAGCCAGAGGCAAGTGGGCCGAACAACAGAAGTGATTCTTAACTCTGGGTAATAGGCTACATTCTAGCCATGCAAAAGCCAAAGGTTTCCACACAAGCATCTCTCCATGTAGGCAAGCAATTCCGGGAGGTCACAAAGCAGGGGCAGTGAAAGGTGCCACCTGATAAAAGGAGTGTGGCCTGTGGGAGAGGTCTTTGCTTGAGCAGAGGGCCTGATAAAGACCTGGAGGGCCACATGGTGTGAGATTCCCAACTCCTAGGTTAGCGGTAGAGGATACCCTAGCCTCAGGAGGATAACATTACAGTGGTACCTCGTTTTAAGAACAGCCCTGTTTATGAACTACAGTGGTACCTCGGGTTAAGTACTTAATTCGTTCTGGAGGTCCGTTCTTAACCTGAAACTGTTCTTAACTTGAAGCACCACTTTAGCTAATTGGGCTTCCTGCTGCTGCTGTGCCACTGGAGCACGATTTCTGTTCTCATCCTGAAGCAAAGTTCTTAACCTGAAGCACTATTTCTGGGTTAGCGGAGTCTGTAACCTGAAGCGTATGTAACCCAAGGTACCACTGTATTCGGAATATGGACTCCGCAAAACCGGAAGTAGTGTTCCGGTTAGTGAACTTTAACTCATTCTATGAATGGAAACTGAACGGTGGAAGGGCACTGGTGGTGGGAGGTCTCATTAGGGAAAGTGTGCCTCAGTTTAAGAATGGCTTTGGTTTAAGAACGGACTTCCAGGACGGATTAAGTTCATAAACCGAGGTACCACTGTACCTTGTAGCGATGTGCTCTGGAGCAGTTCCCATTCACTTCAATGGATCTCGTGTAGAATAAAAAAGAACATCACCAGCCTCTCCAGCTCTTTTACACTCTCACTGACTGAAAAGGGATGGCATCCTCTAGGTGTGCAGAACCGTACTTGAGGTCTCTGCACTTGCTATTGATTTTGCTCAGTGGTACAAGCAAGATCAAGGCGAAGTTAAAGTGGTGTTGTCTGCATCTATCCTTGAACTAGACTTTAATGGATTAGTTAGAGGAAGAGAAATCTTTGCAAACATAATTTTGGAATGAGCAGCAGCAGGGGGAGGGTGGGCTGAAGCAAGAGAGGAGGATCGTAGAGAAAACTGATACAACAATTCAGCACTTTGGTCTGGGAAAGATGCCACAGATAGCATCTTTCCCCCAGCCTGTTGATCAATTGAACCTTCCAGACGTGCAGCTTGCCAAACATGTGTTACCCTTGCAAAGAAAATTCCTTCCATTTTAGAAAATGGCCCACCTATCTATGATGCTGCCTCTGTTGCACTCCTTCTTAGTTCTAGACAGGGATGGGTTGATAATGTCAATTTCTGTTTTCTCAGTTTCTCATTCTGCCCCCTCCCCATCTTAAATTCAGTTTTTCCACATCAGTTTGTAATTTTATTTAATTTTAATTTTTAAGTCCTTTTAAATTTAATCAGCATTTTAGTGCAAATTTCTCCTACTATACACCCGTCCTAGATCCAGGATCCATAGCTAAACTATTGGATTTGCTTCCATGAGAAGAAATGGGGGCTACCAATTTTAACATATAAATTATAATACATACCACAAAACTTCATCTCTTATACAATCTTTTTTGGACTTCCATCAGCTCCTCTGATGATCTGCCGTTTTAATCACTTCTCATGCATTTCTTAAATTCATATTACCTTTAATTGTCTTAACTAACCATCCTCCCCTTTATCCATTTTTGCAATAATTCCAATAATACTCCTCACAAAACTTCTTGCAAACCTACAAATGTAGTCTGATCATCACAAATACTTTGCAAATAGTCTGTAAATTTACTCCAGTCTTCTGTGAATTTCTGGTCCCGACGATTTCGAATCCTTCCTGTTAATTTATCCAGTTTTGCATAGTCCATTATTATAAAAAAAGAAGAAAAGAAATGGGGGCTACCAGCATGGGCGGCTTTAAAAGAGGATATTGGATGAATTCATGGAAGATAAGGCTAGAAATCGTAGGCGTGGAGAGTACTCTTGAATTTGGGTCTCGATTGCGGGTTTCCCACAGGCATCTGGTTGGCCCCTGTGAGAACAGGAAGCTGGACTAGATGGGATATTTGTGATGGCGTGTGTATGCCCTTCGCAATAAGCACCTCTGCTCACTCAGAGATATTTACAGTTCTTTATTTTACATATCTATAGGCAGCATGTTACAATCATGCATCTGAATCCTCCAGTTCAGATTCGGGGAGTGGCTTTCGCCGGTTTCTCCTTCAACAGAAAAGGCGGGGAAGTTTCCTGTGACACCTCTCCCCCCTCCTATTTAACTCTCTCCTCTCCTGGGCAGACGGAATAGGCACCACCTCACCATCGGTGCCAGAACTTCCCGTGCGGTGCTGGGGCTCTGCTTCTGCATCGAAGAGCCTTTCCGCCTCCTGGCTCTCACAATACCTCGAACAATATCTCGGTCTAAGAACGGAAGCTGAAGAGTGGAAGGGCATCGGTGGTGGGAGGCCTCATTAGGGAAAGCGCGCCTCGGTTTAAGAACGGTTTCAGTTTAAGAACGGACTTCCAGAATGGATTAAGTTCATAAACCGAGGTACCACTGTATATGGAACACTCTACGGATTGGGTGTTGAGACATTATGCATGCAAATTTGATTCTCTATCATTGAAAGAAAATCCTTCCCAAAATGCATTAACCAAGATCTGGTGATTCAGAGTTCAGAAATTGTGTGTGTGTGTGTATTGGAGATTGGGTGGCAGGCAATCTGAATGAGGATAATTTCAGAAGCATCTCCGGGAAAAACAACAACAAAGGATTAGCTTTCGAGAGGCCTGTGTGTACTGACTGCCTTCTGCCTGCAAATATTGTCTTTCTCAGTTGTTGTTTTAAGAATTTAGGATTCACCTCATGTTTTAACTTTAAAAGCAGTCAATAGAGACCGAAGCTCTCAACTCCAAGGAAAAAACAGAAGGATGTTGCTGCTGCTCTCCTCCTCCTCCTGAATTGTAATGTGCGGCCCTGAAATTCTTACTCTAAAAGATCCCCCTTTCACCCACCTCTTCTAAGCCAGTTGTGTATTTTTTTTTCTCTGAGTAAAACGTAAACTTGCTTCCTTCTCGGAATGAGAAAAGTGTGAGAGTCCTCAACTATTTAAGTGGCAACATTGTTTTCTGCACAGCTAAAACATTAGGGAAGGAAGTGGGGGGAGTCACTTAACCATTGAACAAAGAAAATTAATCACCCCCCCCCAAAGAATAGATCAATAGAAGACACTGGTTTGCATATGTTGATTTATATACCTGGATATAAATTTAGAAATCATTCTTATAATTTAAATGGAATGCAATACCATTGAAAATACAGTGGGGAAGATAGTGAATAACTGGCCTGTGCAGAACAGGAAACTATCTACAGCTGGTAACTGGGAGAAATGAGATATACCATCTCTTGCAAATATATAAAGTGTTCTGCTCTCCAGGTGTTATGATGAAGTGGAGTACAAATTCATAGAATTAAAGAAATGTAGAGTTAAAGGGAACCAAAGGGCCATGTAGTCCATCTCCCAGCAATAGATGAATCACAGCTAAAGAATCCTTGACAGACGGCCATCCAACCTCTGCTTAAAAAATCTCTAAGGAACCTCAAATGCAGGAGAGTCCACCACCTTCTGAGGGAGTCCATTCCACTGTTGAATGACTCTTACTCTCAGAAAGTTCTTCCTAATGGAGGAAGTTCTAGCCATAGTCAAAACTGTGATGGCCCATCTGTATATTCACACCATTGCCTGGTACTAGAAATGCATGTGTGAATTAGTGGGGACAATTGAGGGAAGCAGTTTTAATATGCTTTCAGTCTCCAGTAATACACCAGTTTTCATCTTCGCCAACTGGCCCCCATTGATGACTCAGCTAATGTTTTGCTTACCCTAAGTCTGGGATGTGGATCATTTTTCAGCCAGGGGGCCACCTTTCCTCCGGGCAAACCTTCCTGGGGTCACAGGCCAGTGCTGGGCGGGACAACAGGCAAAAGTGGGTGGAGCAATCAATGTAAATTTTACCTTTGTACAATAGGCTAGTTTCTACCCTTCATCCAGGCAAGTGAGAGGAATTATCAGTGTTCAAAGGCACTTTCCAGACAGGCAGAAACAATCAAGGACAAACAAGAATGCAAGCCAATGACCAATAAGCAGTGCTGGATTTACGTATAAGCTAAACAAGCTATAGCTTAGGGCCCCACTCTCTTGGGGGGCCCAAAAAAATTTAAAGGGGAAAAAAACCTGGATGTACATTTCCAAAATATAAGATTAAAAACAAATAAAATAAAACCTACATACAGCAACAGTGTTTTGTGTTGTGTAGGCTCCTATTGTTGATTTAAGGCAGAGTCTGTTGTGCCCAGCGGAAGGATGAGGAAAATGTGCTCCATACTCTATATTGCTTTATTTACAGTTCAAAGCTGTTATATTACAGAAAGACATCTTGCGTCTGCAAGAGGAGAAAAATGCATCCTCTCTCCTCAACAGCTTGGAGAGAATCACACAGTGAAAAAAACAGGAAACCAGTGTACGTCACATCCAGTCTCCCTTTCCCGTGAGAAACTCCAACAGTACAGACTGTGGAATGTAAAACAATGTCTTGTGACTGCAGTTGCTGCTCAGTGAAGGAAATAGAAACCAACATCCTCCCCCTTTCTGTGAACATCACTGGGCAGCGTGTTTGCACAATATCAGTACAAACCCAACTTCTGCACATAGGTACAGTGTTGATCCCTTGATACAATCTTGGACAATACATCAGCAGGAATTTCATTACCTGGCATATAGGACACCGTTACGAGTCCCTTCTGAATACATTCCCTAGCATGTTGCAACTTTAATTGCAAGTGCTTTGTGCTTTGCTTACAACCTTCAGACTTGAGCAAAGCCAAACATGCTTTGTTGTCCTGGTAAACCTGGATTGGACATTTGACAGGAATTTTCATATCTTTGCACAATTGTACTAACCATTCACAATCCTTAAGTGAATAAGACAGTGCATTCAGTTCAGCTTCACAAGTACTTAAGCTAACTGTTGTTTGCTTCTTGCATGACCAATCAAACAGACTCTGATTGTACATGTAGCAAACTCCAGACGTACTTTTCCTGTCTGTAGCGTCACTTCCAAAACTTGCATCTGCAAATATCTCAAGACCACCAGACTTCTGATTGTTAAATCTCAGTCTGTAATGCATAGTGCCTTTCAAATACCGCGCTATGCGTTTCAGAGCTTTCAATCCTTGACACTAGGATTGTTGACTTGTCTGCTTAGCAAATTACAGCTAACAGCAATGTCTGGTCTTGAACATCTGGCAATGAAGTTTAGCTTGCCTAGCACACTCCTGTACAGTGTAGTGTCAGAAAATGCTTCTTCAGTGTCATCTACCTGATAACCTGTTGTCATCGGTGTGTCTACAGGGTTAGCATCCATCAGATTTAGTTTGCTTAACACATCAGCAATTTTCCGTGACTGGTGTACTAGAATGTTACCATCTTGATCTCTCTCTATTTCCAGAGATAGGTAGTTGTTTACCTCACCAAGATCTTTCATGTCAAAGTGCTCTTTCAGTTGAGCTAGGGCGCTATTGTACATTGCAACATCTTTCCAAAAGAATAATAAATCATCAACATAAAACAAACAGTACAGTTTCTTTTGCCCCTCCTCTTTGACAAATACACATGGATCAGCTTTCCCTTGCTGAAAACCTAGAGAAAACAATACTTCAGTGAGTTTTGTGTGCCAACACCGTGCACTTTGTTTGAGACCATAAAGGGATTTCTTCAGAGCACAAACAAATCCCTGTTTTACCTGTACGCCATCAGGTGGAAGCATATAAAGTGATTCATCTAGAGATCCGTACAGAAAAGCTGTATTAATATCATGGTGACTAATGTGTAGATTTTCCTCTGCAGCTAGCTTAAGCATAAGCCTAATGCTTTCATATCTCACTGTGGGTGAATAGGTCTCGTGATAGTCTTCACCTGGTACCTGTGCAAAACCTCTGGCTACCAATCTGGCTTTGTGTCTGACTATCTTGCCATTTTGATCTGTCTTCGCTTTGAAGACCCATTTGCTTCCAAGCAGTTTCATTCCTGGAACTACTGGAACTAGCTCCCATGTTTTGTTCCTTTCTAAGGAATCAAGCTCAGCCTTCATGGCATTTAACCATGGCTCAGCTTCCTTTGAATCCAAACCCTGGATCTCTTGGAGACTTGAAGGTTCAAATACCTTCTTGGAGCTTTTAACAGCTGTTACTGCTATCTTAGCAAACTCATCAGCAAATCTCTTTGGAGGTTTGCTTTTTGTGGCTCTCTGTGACCTACGGATTAGCCTTAAGTCTTCAACACTCTCCTCTTCCTTCTTAGGAGAAAACGACCTATTGTGAACAATGGTTCCTCCAATTCTTGATCAGAGCTTTCAGAGGGTCGCATAGAGGCTTTCGCACTCTCGAAATCCTCTGAATCACCCGATTCAGTTTCAGATTCAGACTCAGAACCTTCATCAGTGGGTGTGGGCTGTTGTGGTTGCTTTTGACTATCCTCAGTCTCATCACCGTCATCAGGATAACATTGGAAAATTCCCACATTCTCCCCCACTTTGCATTGTACTCAACACTTCTCGTGAGCTTAATTGTCTTAGAGTCAGTCATCATTATTCTGTAAGACCCTTTCTGATAACCTAGAAAGATACCATGCAATCCACGCTTGTCTAACTTGGAGTTTTGTGGTGAGCGAACCCACATGTCAGAACCAAAAATCTTCATGTGTTTGATGTATGGCTTCTTGCCAAACATCTTCTCATAGAGGTACAACCAATCGCTGAAGATAGCCTGCGATTGTAACTGTAAACAAAACACGAGAGAGATTCGGCCCAATAACTCTCTGGAAGATTGGCATCATGCAGCAAGGTCTTTAACCCTTGAAGCAATGTCTGATTTGCCCATTCCGCAAGTCCATTCTGCCATGGCGAGCGAGGACTAGACAAATCGTGTTGAATTCCTTTCTCAGTCAGAAAAGCTTCAAACTGCTGAGAAGTGAATTCCCCCCCGCGATCACTGAAAAGAGTCTTTATCTTCTTACCATGCACATTTTCCAACCAAGCACAGAATTCCTTGAACCTAGGAAAAGCCTCCGATTTCTGCTTGAGATTGTACACAAAAATATATCTAGAAAATGCATCAATGAGAACCATGAAGTATCTATTTCCACCCAAAGAGGGCGGTAGTGGTCCAACCAAATCAGCATGAACAACCTGGTATGGTTCTGTAGCTGTCCTACTAGACACCTTACCTTTCGCAGCCATTTTCACCTTGTTTGCTGCGCATGCTTTGCACTTCATGTGGTACCTGCAGGGTTTAATAGTCATACCTTCAACCAAGGCAGGCATTTTAGATACTGCCTCAAAATGCAAATGACCAAATTTGCGATGAAAATCGTGAATACATTCTGCATGCAAACTTTTGTTAGAACCTGCAATGCAACAAGTGTCATCCTGCACCACATCATCATAATACAAAACAAACAAATGATCAACATATTCTGCATGCAATACATAATCATTTTTCTTTGTGATGATGCACTTCTTGTTCTTGAAGGAAACGTCAATGTTCCGCTCATTCAGCTGTCCAACGCTGAGCAGATTATGTTTGGCGTCTGGCACGTAAAGCACATTCTGTATCGATAAGTCCAAACTGTGAAGAACAACAGTTCCGTAGCCTTTACTGGGAATAGTGTGGTCATCCGCCTGGTGAATCGCACCTTCCTGCGGTGTAAAAGACACAAACAGTTTCTTATCGTTGCACATGTGGTGGGTGGCCGCTGAATCAACAACGAAGAAAGATCTAGACGTCTTCTGGACCTCTGCAACCTTTGGAGTGAAGCGTGAAACCATAGCCTTGTGCTGCGTTGTCCTAGACACCGGACCTTTGCCTTTGCCTCGGCCTTTTCGCGCGATGAGCTTCGCTGCGCTGCTCTGTCTTGGCCCTGGGATGTCTGCATTCCCTCTTCATATGGCCTAGACGTCCACATGAGTAGCATTTCACTGCCTTCAAAGCTTTGGCGCCATCTGGTGGTTCCACTGCACTATGGGATGACGTCTGTGAAGACTTCCCTTGCCCATGCAGCTAGCACCCCGGCGATCTGCTTCATTTAAAATCACGGCAGTAACAAAGTCCACTGTCAGCTGAGCAGTTGGTTGCACAGCAATCTGGGTTGCAACAGACTCCCAACCTGAACCCAAAGATTGTAGTATCATGAAAGAATACACAGCCTCTGGAAAGTTGAGTCCTCTCTGTTGCAGCTCATGTCTCAGATTTTGCATCTCAATCAGATGTAAGCGCACATCTCCACCTTCAGCAAGAGCCATATTATGCAGCTTGTTAAAATAATACATAGTGGATCCAGCTTCTGTCCTTAAGTGAGCCTCTTTCAGAGCGTCCCAAATTTCTCTGGCTGAGGTCTTATCACGCAATAGACAGAGCTCTTCTGGGGATACTATCAATGTAAGAGTTCCCTTGCTTTGGAATCCTTAGCTTCCCATGCATCTGTAACTGGAACTGGGGGTTTCTGTAATCACCTCAAACAAACCCTCTTTCCGCAGAATTGCCTCTGCATACTGAACCCAGTCGCTGTAATTTTTCTTGTTGAGCTTAGGAATCCCACAAGCATCCTGAAGGGCCATCATGACTCTGGCATTAGCCTTCAGCGTCATATGCTGCTTTAAATCTTGCTGCGTCACTGCTGCAGCTGCCTCATTACAAAGGCACACTTAAAAGTTACTTTCGATTTCCCCAGCATAGTGACTTGTGCCTGGGAGCCTTTTGTTATTCCCGGCAAAACCGGCTTTAAAAGTTCAAAGTCCAGCCATAAAGCCATTAACTTGAAGCTGGCAGGCTGCCCGGAGCAGTAGCACATACCTCATCAATCACTTCTACGCGCAGAGCAGATTCCGTTCCGATCTGTTCCTCTGCATTCCGATCCTTTGCCGGCACTCCGATTCGACTCCTGGGCCCATAACCACGTGTTGATTTAAGGCAGAGTCTGTTGTGCCCAGCGGAAGGATGAGGAAAATGTGCTCCATACTCTATATTGCTTTATTTACAGTTCAAAGCTGGTATATTACAGAAAGACATCTTGCGTCTGCAAGAGCAGAAAAATGCATCCTCTCTCCTCAACAGCTTGGAGAGAATCACACAGTGAAAAAACAGGAAACCAGTGTACGTCACATCCAGTCTCCCTTTCCCGTGAGAAACTCCAACAGTACAGACTGTGGAATGTAAAACAATGTCTTGTGACTGCAGTTGCTGCTCAGTGAAGGAAATAGAAACCAACACCTATGATGTAAGTAATGGGCCCCGCCTGCTAGCCTGCTCCCTAAAATATCACTGGTTTGCTCATTTCTATATATAGGGTGCCTACATTCTGCAGGGACTGGTTACATGGCAACATGTGCAAATGGCTTTCCATACCTATTAGGTCCATAAATTACCATATAGCATATATTCAACACACAAAAACAGCAGCAATTTGTTGTTGACAAAGGACAGCTGGACATACAAAGGGCCCCATTACCTTCAGTAGCTTGGGGCCTCATCAAACCTAAATCTGGCCCTGCCAATAAGGGGTGTGACTGGGGAGGTGATATTTGGTTCACCATCCCTGATCTAAGACTGATTTGGTTCACCATCCCTCATCTACCATAAAAACCTTACAGTCCTTCTTCTCCATACACCATTAGAACAACCCTCTCAGGGAGGTCAGTTTTATTTTCCCTCCTGCTGCAGCTGGTAAACTGAGGCTGAGAGACAGTAGCCTTTCAGAGAGGTGGGGGCACACATTAGTTTTAGCTATAAGACTGGAACCAGAGACACACAACTCACAAATTATTCTCTGTCTCAGCTACAGACAAGCACTATACATAATAATAATAATAAATAATAATAATAATAATAATAATAATAATAATAATAATAATAATTTATTTATTTATTTATTTATACCCTGCCCATCTGGCTAGGCTTCCCCAGCCACTCTGGCCAGCTTCCAGCAAAATATTAAAATACAGTAATGCATCAAACATTAAAGGTTTCCCTAAACAGGGCTGCCTTCGATGTCTTCTAAAAGTCTGGTAGTTGTTGTTCTCTTTGACATCTGGTGGGAGGGCATTCCACAAGGTGGGTGCCACTACAGAGAAGGCCCTCTGCCTGGTTCCCTGTAGGTTTGCTTTTCACAGTGAGGGAACCGCCAGAAGGCCCTCGGAGCTGGATCTCAGTGTCCGGGTAGAACGATGGGGGTGGAGATGCTACTTCAGATATACTGGACTGAGCTAATCCTTCAGCACCAAAGCTTTGAATTGCGCTTGGAAATGTACTGGGAGCCAATGAAGGTCTTTCAAGACCGGTGTTATGTGGTCTCGGCGGCCGCTCCCAGTTCAGTATTCTCAGGTACTGAAAGAAAACTGTGTTTGTGGTGGGTGGTATACTAAGTAGCGTTAAGGGGTGCTTAAACCCTTTGTACACTAACGTATTAATCCCATCAGCTTTTGCTGTAGTCAGGGGGGAGCTTTAGATTTCAACAGAGCTGCACAGGCAATTAGACCATGAGTCTTTCACTAAGACTAGAATGCAGCCTTAACCTGCTATGTCATTAGATTAATAGAGTCACCGAATTGTAGAGTTGGACTAGAGTCATCTAGTCCAACCCTCTGCAATGCAGGAACCACAGCTAAAGAATCAGAAACAATATAGGGTCCTGTGGTTCCTTAACAGCTAACAAACTTATTATGAGTTGGATTTTGCATGTCCCTTCCCTCCACCTTTTGTGCCTCCCCAACCGCCTATTATCCAGCCTGGGCTTCTAGTTCACATATAGCTGGATAGCAGCCAAATTATGCATAAAATATGGGTATCCAGGTTGTAATTTGAATAAATGAGTCTGAGCTGTCCTTCATGTAAAGTTGCACCCCTCCCATCCTTTGATGCTTTAAGAGTACAGTTCCTACCTGTTATTATCATTTCCCTTCCGGATATCAGACAATTTGCAGACGGCTTTCTAGTGATCTGAAAATGCAACCATTATTTCCATGCCTGCACCTGTTTCCATTTTGCTGCTCTTTCTTTTGCAGGAGAAAGGGAAGAAACATCCATAATGTTTTTTTCCAAGAAAGAAAGAAAGAAAGAAAGAAAGAAAGAAAGAAAGAAGACAGCATCTTCTCTCCCATCAACAAATCTAACTGAGGCTGAGGTCAGATTATCTCTGGCACTGCTGTACGTTGCAGAATAATTAAGGGCAAAGCATGGTTATTACACATAGCACGTCTGACAGCAAGACAAATTAGGAGTGCCCCGGTCAAGATTTAATGACAGTAGTTGAAGCTGATCATGAAGAACTTGTTGAGTTGACAAGTTAAACCACAGACTATCTCAGTGGCTCTTCTATTTTTTTTCCCCTTTCACTTTTTTTGCAATCATCTTCCTTGTTCATATAAAATACACACACCAACCTTTTCTTTTTCTTTTCCCTTTTGGTATGAGGGGTGGAGGACCTCTGGTCCTTCAGACGTTGCTGGACTACAACTCCCAGCATCCCTGACTATTGTCAGAGCAGGCTGGGACTGACGGGAGTTGGATTCTAACAGCATCTAGAAGGCCACAGGCTCTCCGTCCCTGCTGTGATGTCTGGCACTTGAAGGACAAGAGGTTTTTGTTATGTTGTGGTATTCTGATGACCACCGGCTGCTTCAAGCAACTGGAGTTTGTGACATAGCCAAGGTTCATACCTTGTAGGCAAAACGTTTTGCGTTTTTCAATCTTGCAACTGGGAGAAAGAAACATTTTTATTTTCCTTAAAAAATAATAAATGAAATAAAAGAGAAACAAATATGTTGAGTTTGGGAGGGGGCTAGAAAATAATGTTAAGGTTGCTAAGCTATCAGAAGCAGTTTCTAGGTTTGGGGGTCGCTGTTGCTACTGACATTTTTAGTAATAAAAGAATCTGCTATAAAGTCCTCAATTTTTGCTACAAACTCTGGAAATAATAAAAGGTGGTGACAAACAATGTCTCTCTCTCTCTCTCTCTCTCTCTCTCTGTGTGTGTGTGTGTGTGTGTGTGCTTGATTCTCATCAGCTCAATCTATGCCAGCAATGGAAATGCTGTTTCCCTTAGATATTGATGGACACCAACTCCGAAGAGCCTCAGCCCACATGGGCGATGGTCAGGGATGATGGGAGCTGGCATGCAACAACAACTGGAGGACCACACACCCCTCGTTCCTCTTTCTCCCTCTCCCTCTGTCTTTCCACACATCCACAGACACCAGTACAAGTGGCAACAGCATCCACCATGTTGCATCCTCCACAATGTCTGGGACCTTGCATCCATCTAGAGCATTTTGTTGGTGCTAAATGGTGACAGTCAAAACAAAATGGTGGACAAGATTTGGAGAAAATTCTCCAGAGCACCCTTCTTTTTCATGGGGGTCGGGAGATGATAAAAATACAGGACGTTTCTCAGAAATGTGTATTTTGGCTGACTTTGGTTCAGCTCCAGGCTGAACTGCAAACTCTTTGTTGGCTGTTTAATCTGGTTCTTGCCATCTCAGAGATAAATGGAGATACTAAAGAATGGAAGTGAAGAGAGAGAGAGAGAGAGAGAGAGAGAGAATATCTTCCTGTCTAGCTACAGCTGCAGTCCTGACAGCTCCCAAGTCAGAGATGTGGAACCCTTTAGCAAGCGTAGCCCATCTCAGAGTTCGGTGTCAAAAGGCTGTGTGGTGTGCCATTAAAATTCATTACTGTCACAAGATGGAAGACCTCAACCAATGCTTCTGACAGGCCTGAAATCAACAAATGAGAACGGTCAATTAAAACCTATTTTTTTGGAAAGGGCTGGGGCAAATGTTGGCTAACTTTGCTGCCTAGATCTGTGATGATTCCCGGTTGTAAATTTCTCTTGCCCCCCCCCTCCCCCAGACACTTCTTTTCTCCCCCATTTTCAACTTCTGAGCCAGGCTCACATTAACTGTTTTCATTATCCCCTCTTCCTAAGCCTATTAGAGTTTAACTAGGAAAAGTTGCAGTGATGTTTTACCCCCTGCTTAAATTGTCTCTGCAAGAATAAGGCTCCCAGCTCCCAGCTGTCAGGCCTCCCAGAGGTTCAATAGGCTTAATCCTAAAAAGATCTCAGCATCATTTCCAAAGGTTGTAATGACATTAAGTCATCAGATAAAACTGTTCTATTGCATCCTGTGAGTACAGTAGAGGCTCAGAGCTGAATAGAGGCAATGCGGGAGAAGAAAAACATTCTCAAGACTTTTATTCCCCTTAGGCCCAATTCAGCGTCTGCACCTGCACATGGAAACTGCTAAGTAGTGCCTCTTAGGAAACTACTTTATGCCGAGCTGAAACATTGGTCTACCTGGTTTAGCATTGCCTACTACACTAACTGACAGAAGCTCTCCAGAATTTCAGACAGAGCTCTTTCCCAGTCCTACCTGGAGATGAAGCGGATAGATCCTAAGACCATCTACATGAGGTCTACCACTGAGCAACTGTGCTTAATTATTATTATTTTTATTTATTTATTTATACCCCGCCCATCTGGCTGGGCTTCCCCAGCCACTCTGGGCGGCTTCCAAAAAAATATTAAAATACTGTAATACATCAAACATTAAAAGCTTCCCTAAAAAGGGCTGCCTTCAGATGTCTTCTAAAAGTCTGGTAGTTGTTGTTCTCTTTGACATCTGGTGGGAGGGCGTTCCATAGGGAGGGCGCCACTACCGAGAAGGCCCTCTGCCCGGTTCCCTGCAACTTGGCTTCTCGCAGTGAGGGAACCGCCAGAAGGCCCTCGTCACTGGACCTCAGTGTCCGGACAGAATGATGGGGGTGGAGACGCTCCTTCAGATATACTGGACCGAGGCCGTTTAGGGCTTTAAAGGTCAGCACCAACACTTTGAATTGTGCTTGGAATTGTGCTTCTTCCACATCACATGTTGCAAATTGGTAGCTATATCATTTGGCAGGGCTGGCTCTACCATTAGGAAGAGTGAAGCAGCCATGTCAGTTGGAAGGTGTTGGGGCAGCAAGATGTCAGAACCTACCTGTACCCTCCAAGCCAACCTGGTGCCCTCAGGTGTGGTGAAGGATGTGTTGTACTATGTTGGTTAGAAAATGTATTTCACAAAGAATGAATTGTATTGGGGCGGGGGGTGGGAAACCCATGTAATGAAATGTGCTGCCTGGAGGAGTTGGTGATGACAGACGGTGGACTGATAATTTATACACTGCTTCAAAGGTCTTTTGGAAGCAAGAAGACCCTCTCTTGGGCTCAAGAGAATGAAACATACATACACACACACACCATATTTTTCTGTGTATAATACTCCCTGTGTATAAGACGCCCCCTATTTTGGGGGACGCAAAATTAAGAAAATGGGGGGAGATTGTCCTGAGTTGTTGAGCTTTTTGGAGGGGGGATTGTCAAAAATCGCTCACCCACACGGTCACAAAGGCCGCCTATCGTATGTCCCCACGCTGGAATAAGCCGCCAATTGTGCAAACCTTCATCCCACCCTATAAAACAAGAGGATGGGAGAGGAGATCAAGGTTGAAGGCCACATCTCCTTGGGGGAGCCACAGACCAATGGCAATGAGAAGGACCAAAGCAAAAAAGATGACAATACGCCACCTCTCTCTCCTTTTCTCCCTTTCATTGTTCGATTGTTCCATCCTCCATCAATGCATTAATTCTCCCCCTCCCTCTTCTCACATACACACCTGTTCACAAACACATACAAACCAACAACATCATCCCTCCCTCCCCTTCAGTCACCCATCACCCATTCATTGACTTATATTCTCTCTCTCTTTCTCTCTCTCTTTTCCCTCTCTCTCTCTGGCTTAGGGGCTGTATTGAAAGAGATGGGAGGACCACCAGTGACCCCTGGCTGCAGGTTGCCCACCTGTGCTATTAAAACATTGCCATGATGTCATCCTTGCTAATATCCAAACAACCCACAATCAATTCTGCTTTATAATTTAAGAGCATCCTCTGCAGCAAACCTCACAGAAAAAGGGGTGCAATCTCGTATAGTAATTCTGTATCTGATACCTCTGAATCATGAATTATGTGCCAAGTGGCAAGGAAAAAAGAACAACAACAAAATGCTTGGAGGGGGGGCATGTTGAAAATTGTTGTGTGAATTCAGGCATCTTACACTGCCCAAACCGCTCTCAAAATCAATAGGCGTTTTGCCCGCAATTAGAGTTGTTACCAGAACTATCATCGCTCCGAGAAACAGTGCAAATTAAGGGCAATGTCCTCATATTAACACATAGCTGGAACTGATGGGAAGCAATGATGGTGCAGGGGTTTTGAGCAATGGAATAATATTATTAATTGGAGAAGGATCTCTGATAAGTTTGTTTTGTATGGATTATTGACTGTTGAATGGCTACATTCATTCTCTCGTGTGGGGTATATGTAGAAGGTGATTACAGTGGTGCCTCGCAAGACGAAATTAATTCGTTCTGCGAGTTTTTTCGTCTTGCGAATTTTTCGTCTTGCGAAGCACCACTGTCTTCAAATCACCAAAGTCTTCAAAAACCTCAAAAAAGGCTACCACACTGCGTGCTATGAGTTGCTCCTCGAAGTCAAGTCGCAATTGCACCTCTTCAAGCAATGCACCCTGGGTATTAACGGTTTTAAGAAAAAGGAAACAAACTTGCAAGACGTTTTCGTTTTTTGTCTTGCGAAGCAAGCCCATAGGTAAATTCGTCTTGCAAAGCAACTCAAAAAATGAAAAACTCTTTCGTCTTGCGAGTTTTTCGTCTTGCGAGGCATTCGTCTTGCAAGGTACCAGTGTATCCTGATTACAACATCCCAGTTAAACAGTTAAAACTTAATTCTTTTCCTCAGGGGAAAAAACATCAACCAATGACAGAATCCCAAGTAGAATCTATATAAACCATGGACCATTTCTGGGGAAGTGTGCTATCTGTGAAATATGGACTCCTGCCTTGGGGAGACATTGCAAACACCAACGTCTTGTCCTCAATGAAATCCTTCTTTGTCTTCCATTCATAATCATAAAACTGGGACCCACAGAATGAACTCTTCCTGGTAAACAGCAACTGTTTGGGCATCTGCATTCTCTGTGCTGCAACAGGGAGCAGAATGTCTGTGACGGAACAGGTTTTAACACAACCCTTTCATATTGAACTGGGATCATAATCAGGCCAGGGAGCTTTGAGTCGGAGTCAGGAGGTATCAGTTTAACCGAAGTGCTTTGACAATGTGTGTCACCACCGCCCTTACGCACTTAATTATAAATTGGAGAAGTGTCAAAGGGACAAAGAGTGCTGGGGAAGAGGTGGGGGGGAGGAGGAGGCAGAGAGGAACAAAACTCACGAGAAGTGGCACTAGACAATATTTGCTAAACAAGGACTAACTTCATTTAATTTCCTTTCAGGATGCAAATGTGTCGCACTCTTCCCAGACAATGGAAGGAGCAATTAAAAAAAGGACAAGCGCCGCCGTGCGGGTCTGAATAGAGCCACTTCAAGAGCTAGACCTTAAACAGATGCGGCTTCTTTTGGCAACATAAACATAAAGGGGGACGGTGCTTCCTCGGGGTGGCTATTGTCAAGCTGAGACTCTTTGGGGACAGCTTAAAAAAAGAAAGAAAGGGGGGAGGCGATGGGTTCACACAGAGATGAGACGCGCCCATTGTGTCTTAACAACTGTGCCGCAGAGGCCTTGGTGAGGAGTTCTGGCACGCACCTGGAGTCCGGGCCTTTTTTGCTGCAAGGAACCACGAGGAGAGGACTTGGTGACCAAATGATTTAGTGGCAGATGTCTATTCCCAAGCAAGAGAGGCCCCTCAGCTCCGCAGAGCGACACAAGAGACTCTTCCGTCCCCTGCAGAAGAGCGTTGAGCCTTCCCCGCAGACAGCTGAGAATCCTAGTAATTTATTTTACCCACCGCTGTGGCTCAGGGGCCCTCCTGCCTGCAGGGCATGAATTATAAAAGCGCGCAGGGAGTAATCGGCAGGGATTTAGCATGTGGCTTTGCTGAAATTAAGAAAAATCAACCCATTTTGCAGCAGGCTTAAGGACATTCCTTTGTGTTGTGCAATTAGGTTTTTTTTAAAGGGAGGAGAAGGAAGAACCCTGCTGGCTCCCCACCCCCTCAAATTCTATCTTAAACCATGAAAAATTAAGTAATATAGTCTGCAAGTTAATAAAAGTGTTAATTAAGGCTGGAGTCCGATGAATCCTAAACGGGAGTAAGGCCCATTGAAAATCAGTGTGATTTACTCCTGGGTAAACACATCCAGGATTGTGCTGCACAGGAGTTAAGGAAACACATGAGTGTAAAATTAGTGGGAATTAACAATGCTTAACTTTGGCTGGTTCAAGACGATGCATATTAAGCAAATAACACAAGTGATTGAACACCATTTTGCATATTGATATGCATTCTGGAAAATTCAAGAACTTTTGGGTTTCTGGGTTGGATTAAGAAGATTATACAATTCAAAAAAATAAACATGATCCAGCCAAAATTAAGCAGTTTAGAGTCCCCTGGATTTCAATGGGAGAGTTACACATTTGCTTAACTCTGTCTCACTTAACTTCAAAGTACTAAGCTTTGCCTGCACAATTATTCATTTTCCGAATGAGAAATTTATGCTCTTCACGTAAACCTCAGGTTGCTAGAAAATATAGCCAAAGTAGCCATTAAATTTCTAGCTCTGTAACATCTCTTGTTTAGGCTGTATATTTCCTTCAAAGGTGTGGAGGTGTGGGAACTGAGCCATATATATATACTTCAGATTTTGCCCTTGATATAAATTAGAGCATTTGTATTGTAACATGGGGCAAGATGAAATGGCAGTTAATTTTTCTTGGTCCCCACCCCCTGCATCCTGTAAACTAAATCAAAAGTGGCTTAACCAATCTTATTGGTCCTTGCAGGATGGAGAGTGGGCAAATATGTAGCACAGATAATGGTGCTCTGCTTGCAATTAATTCACACACTGCTCCTTCTGTCCCAGTGTAGACAAGAGGGGAATACGTAGGTGCAGTTAGGACAATTAGTGAGCAATCCAGCAAGCAGGGCAATGTAAAAAGCACCAGAAAACAGGCAGCCTGCCAGGGTACCCAGATGACATTGGCTCCCCCATCTCAGGACATCTGCCCTCTTTATAACCTTTGTCCACCCTCGGTCCTCCCTCTTGCATCAGGAGCCAATGTCTGACTTCAAATAGGTTTTCGTATTGTATCTAAAAATACAGATCCTTAGGCAAAAAGCTGCTTTTTCACACGGGGCAGTTCAAAATCACAGGCGTAATTAGTGGCTGCAAGGGGCTGATTGCAGAAGCAAATGCTTAAGTTCTACAAAGCGGCATATCCCATTGATTGGAAAAAGAATGGGAGGAAAGTGGTTGGCTACCACAGCTTCTCCCAGACTCCCCTGCGGAGTACAGACAAATGGTTTTCCTTTCTGCGTATTCCTTGTTTCTGCCCCCAGATCTTTCAATGGGTGGAGGTAAGCTGTGGAGTCCCCCAAATTTCTATACTGTATTGGGGCCGGTGCAATTTAACTTGGTCATCAGTTATCTGGAATCATAGTCAAGTGGCTAGGTCTGTGGAACAGGGATGGGTGAGAAATTCAGTTCAGTTCACACAAAGGTGAATCGACCTAATTCACTTTCCAAAACAATACACAGACATCCTTCAAAATGTGCACTTCTCCAGAATTCGCAGCGCAGTTCTGCAGCTGAGTAACGTGTACAAAAATGCATATGCTGGGGTAAAGTGTCCCTAAAAGGCACGTGTTAGTGGGGGGACGGACGGACATTGAATGCATTGTATTTGGGAAAATGCCTCTGCGAAATTGTGTGTATTTGGCCTTCACATGACAGAAATTTAAAAAATTGTGCATGGCATAAGCCAAGTGGATAGAGAAAAGGAGGATATAGCTATCAAGGGCTATGAGCAATGATATCTATGTTCTGCCTTCACAGCTGGAGGCAGGAATACTCCCGAATATCAATTGCTGCAAGTCACAGAAGGATCTTGTGATTGGGTCCTGCTTGTGGGTTTCCCATACACATCTGTCAAGGACTGGCTGGATGATGAGGAGTGGTGGGAGATTCCAGCTGGAGAACCCCCTAGAGAAACCTCAGAAGAGGAAGGCTCAGAGCCAGGGGAGTGGTGGTCAGTCAATGAAGACCAGTCAGAGGAGGAAGGGGGTGAAGATTGGCTGGATGCTGAACAAGCTTGAGTGAGAGAGAGGAAGAAGAGGCAGAAAGCCCTGGAGACGTAGGATAGGCAGAAGTGGGGGAAGAAGAAGAAGAAGAAGAAGAAGAAGAAGAAGAAGAAGAAGAAGAAGGGGAGGAGGAGGAGGAGGAAGAAGAAGAGGAGGAGGAGGAGGAAGAGGAGGAGTTTGGATTTGATATCCCGCTTTATCACTACCCGAAGGAGTCTCAAAGCTGCTAACATTCTTCTTTCCCTTCCTCCCCCCACAACAAACACTCTGTGAGGTGAGTGGGGCCGAGAGAGTGTGACTAGCCCAAGGTCACCCAGCAGCTGCATGTGGAGGAGTGGAGACGCGAACCCGGTTCACCAGATTACGAGTCTACTGCTCTTAACCACTACACCACACTGGCTGAGCCTGCAACAGATTCACAGGAGCTTACCAGTCCTGCTGTGTTTAGCTCCCCTCCTCCCTTGTCTCCAAGGGCATGGAGAGCTTTGCACGTAGCAGAGCAAAGAGCACATAGAGCGGGGCGAGGGCTCTCCCCAGTGGAGTTTAAGGCTGCTGGGAAAACAGCCAGCTGGGGAAGAGACAGGGGGAAATGGGAGGCCCAGGTTATCAGTTCTGGCAACTGCCATACCAGGACCAGTCTTGTATCTCTCTTTATTCAAGGAAACAGAATACACAATCAACTTTACTGCTCATCTCTGAGTCTCCATGCTGACCTGCAGTTGAACCAGCCCTGACAACATCTGCTTGGTCACTGTAAGAACAGGATACTGGACTGCATGGGCTACTGGCCTGATCCAGCAGGCTCTTCTTATGTACTTAGCACTCCTGGCTCTTCCCCAAAGGCTGCCTACAGATCAGCACTTCTCCTATCTCTCTCTCTCTTCAAATCTCTGCAGAATTCAATACAATACCCACATTGGGTTCGTGGCCCCGTCAGCAGTCACTTGCATCATAGCTGCAGGGGTGTAGATCATTTGTTGCTTTCCACAACACCACATTAATGTAATCAATACACGAATATTCCTTTCACCGTTTAGCTTCTCACCTGACAATTGTCGTATTTGTTTCTCATTGCAGGAACCCAGGATTCAGTGAAAGATCATTGTGATTAAAGATTGATTAGCTGGTGGAGTAGGGAGAAGGTATTTAAGGCAACAAAAGGGTTCTCATTTACTATCTCCTTTCTTTCTTTCTCTCTCCCCTCTCCTTTTCTTTCTTCGTAATCATCTGCCGGCTAATAGATGTAATGAACTTATTATTCACAGTATTTCTGAAATTGCATTACCCAATTAAAAGCCTCTGCTTAATGGACCAGAATTCAATCTAGAAACAATAAAGATGCTGAAACTTCAACAAGCTGCTTTTCTCTTCACCTTCCCACCACCTTCAAAGCTTCAGCTCTAGTAATACTATCCTTCAAAAGTACCTTGAGGGTTTGGTGATGCATGGAACACGCTCTGCCATTATAAAGGGACCAGCTTCTTCTTACACAGGAGCTTCCAAACTCTAAGCTGTAATCCCCTCAGATGAATGGAAGTCTAGAACTCCTCCAAAACCTCACAGCCTATCTCCACCTGGAATGTGGTTTTGGGTAGAAACCAACTTCCCATATGGCAGCTGTCACTCTGTTGTGAGGAATCCAAAGGCTTGGGGGTGAATATGTCCTTGCAGTCCTCTCTAACTGGCTCTCAGGAGGCCACACCCTTTCTCCAGCCACTTCCCCCAATCTCCAGGCCACACCCCTCTCTAGGTGCACCTTGAACGCTTTTGCCAGGCTGAAATGTGTCCTTGAACCCTGATAATGTCACACATTTGCTCAGCAACATGCAGGATTCTCCTTGAATGGGGTGTCAGAGTGGGAGGAGAGCCAGCAAGACTGGGACTGCCCTGCTGCTGTGGAGCAGGGACAATTTTTTACTCCTCTGTATCTGAATCTGCGCTCACACTGTGACTCTCAGCCTCCAGCCCTGTCCAAGAAGGCCCTCTTTCTCCTGACACCCCTCAGTCACTCAAACCCCCTGCTTCTGGCACCTCCAGCTCGTCCTTTCTCCAGACTGCTCCTCAGTGTCCCACCACCAGGATCCAGGATCTAAGCTGTCATATTCTGTGGCCTCCCTGGGCAGGCAGCTCCCATCACTGTTCCTCATTCGGCCAGTCCCTGACACTCCACTATGAGAGGCAGCTGAAATCCAGTTGCTGGGAATTGCAGGAGAAAATTGTGCTATTGCGCTCATGATCAGCTTGTAGGCATTGCAAGAGTATCATGTGAGCACAGGATACTGGACTAGATGGGCCACTGGCCTGATCCAGAAAGCTCATCTTATGTTCTGTCCTGAATCAGTGGTGTTACACCAGTTTTGTTTCTGGGCAAATGCATTCATACCAATCAAGAGTCCCTTGGCATAAAAGGAAATAAACAGATCCCCTAAAACGTATTGCTGAGCATGGAATTATGACAGTGAGTTATGTTCATTTATCAGCTGCCAATTGAAGCAAGGAACCAAGGTTGACTTATTTACTGTTTTTGCTGTGAACTCCACTGAGGGAGTGCAAAGCTTTCAACCTATTGCATTCGATTCTGCATAATTAAACCTTTTTTGCTGAGCCTTTCTGTATTAATTCGTAACACTCAACTACTTCTTGGGGCAGGAGCTGGGGGGGGAACAATCCCATATTAAACTTGACGTCCTGGTTCATGTTCTGCACTGAGGAGGGAGGGATTATGACGACAAGACAGTGCAATGTGCTAATTTAACTCTTGTAAAGCTCTGCATTGGTGAGATCTGTAGGTAAATTGTGGCCCAGTTTATTTGAACTCTTGGTTTTTCAAACCAGTAATCTCTGAAGACAGTAAGCCTGATCAGACTTGTTTCCATTCTGTGTCCATTCTTTAAGTATTCAATTGTAAGTCCATTCCATTAAAAAAAATAATCTCACAAAAATACTTAAATATTAAAAATATTTAAATACTACACATTTTTGTCAGTATTTTCAGCTAAATCTTAGGGGTAAAGAACAGGATCCAGTCAGTAGACTGGATCCATCTCTTTGCCTTTCCCCCCATGGGCCATGGCTACTAGCCATGATGGTTGTGCCCTGCCTCCACCACCGGGGGCAGTAATGCTTCTGAATACCAGTTGCTGGAAAGGGCTAGAAGGAAGAATGCTCTTGCGCTCAGGTGCTGCTTGAAGGCTCAGTCAAGCATCTCCTCAAATAGTCACAGAAGCCATACAGTAAGCTTTTAAAGTGGCTACCAACTGTGCAGATTCTAATTGGCTCAGATCACCCACTGCTTGGGGGGGGGGGATCATTTGGAATGACATCAAAACTAAGCTCAGGCAAAAGAGTTACACATCTTAAGAACTAAGCAGTCCTCCTGTTCATTTGTGACTGTGGTATTTTTGAAGTCACGAGAGTTTGGCGTAGCACGAACACGGTGGGGAACCATTACACAGAATTACAACATGAAGGGCTAGGAAGTGCCTAGAGAATTTCCGAGCTTCTTCAGGAGTCTGTCTGGCATTTTGGACACTCCAGTTCTCACACCTGTTGCAAGCAGAGAGAAAGAGTGAGAGAGGCTATTGAGAGAGAGAGAGAGAGAGTAGACTACCATAATATATGCTTTGTGGGGCTGCCTTTGAAGACAGTCCAGAAACCAGTAATCTATATTAGGACTGTCACACAACAACTTGATTAATTATATTGGTGACTCTTAAACTGTGGCCATTGATCACCGACTCACTTTCACTAGGAATGCAATTGACGTTCATGGTTTTCATCTTTTTAGAATGAGAATTGCATATTTGGAACCACAGGGTTTTCAGGTGATTATTGAAGATTAAGAAAGGAAGGGAGGAGGAGTAAGTCTGTTCTGAAGGATGTGATGGTGAAAGATTTTCTTTTCAACAGTTTCCTGAGCATCTGTTCAACAGCAACCCAGGAACCTCTTACAAAGGAAAGGTGACAGGTAGCAGTGAAAGATGTGTTCTTATGCTAGTAAGTGAAATAACTTGTAATTTACCCATTTGGAAAATTCTTGCGGAGGAGGGGGTAGAATACACATGCACTTTTGCAGAAATCTTCAGCTGAAAAAGACTCCCGGTGTAGTACAGAAACAGTCCCTGCTCTCAGGCTAACAGCCTTAAAAGCATGGCACAAAAGGAAAAAAAATAAAATTGTGAGGTGGAGGGTGAAAAAGCAAACCATGCACTAAATTACCAGTTAATATGGGGAAGTTGCAGTTTAAGGAGAGAAGGAACCAAAAGTTGCTAGTCAAAGCAGAACTAATAGGCTGGTCCTTGCTTCCCTTCTCTCCTTCTGCTCAACATGCATCTCTGGGATGCAAAGACTGCAACATGGCAGAGTAATATGGTTGTCCACCCACTGCTTGACCACTGGAAGACAATTTGCATGGCCTCTATCTTTTGTAATGTCATCACACATTGTCTAAACATTTCCCAAAATTTCACCTGCAGCCTTAAGGGCCAAAAGCTGGTATAGTAATAGAGGAGATTTGCAGGATGTGGTTCCTGTGCCTGATGCCAGTGTCCAGGCTTGTACAGTTAAGGCACAGAAATGTAGAGTGAGAGAGATACAACCTCCAAATTATACTGTCTTCAAAAGTAGAAGAAATTGATTTACCCAACATACGTGTCTGCCATTGCACAGAGGCATACGGGCAAAGAACTGAGGGATGGAAGTTTCTTGTTAACAGATCAGCCTAACAAAGGACTGGTGGCCTTATCTAATATCTTCTGCTATATAAACCTCTTGGGGAATAATTGGCAAAAATGACTCAAGCTGTGTCTTTCCAATGGCCTATTATATTCATTGGAACATCTTCCTTAAATATTAGTGCCCTGGAATTAAAACTAGATAAGAGTGTCATTAATAAACTAAGGGGAGACATAATTGATCTGTGGAGGTTTAATGATAACTCTGAGCCATCGAGCACAGAGAGGCAATTCATCTCTCCATCAATGTCCAGCTTCCGCCCTTTTCATGACAATGGGCTCAGTTGGAAAGGGAAAGGCTTATCTCCGTTAATGGCTGGGGTGTAAGAGCTCGGTGCAGCAAGATGGATTGTTATGGCCTTGCTTTATTAATTACGCATGCTACTCTGTAGCCCTGAATCATTTAACAAAGAGGGCAGCCACCTTTTCACACTCTCCACTC